AAATTACCAGCCGGCCCTTTCGAATGGAAATGATAATCAGGGGGCATCCTGCCATGTTTTGACTCATCTCTTTGCATTCTCTTCACCTCTAGCGCCGCAGGTACGATTGATTGGTCAGATCGATGGCGCCTGAGCTAATTGGACAAAGTAATACATATTTAACCTCTTTTTTTTGGATGAGGGAGTTGGTGGAAAACCATGAGTGCAACAGAGCATTTCCATCATTATTGTTATTCTAGCGAAAGCGGGGAGGCAGATTGGTTGATTAGTCCACGGTTGACTGAAGGTCAGAGAAATCCATACTCGGCCGGGTTTTTGTTTGCTGACAACTCCCAAGGCTGCACTGATTTACTTAAACTCACAGTTTTCAATAAAGGCTAACAGACACTGTTTGGGAGAGTTTAGATGCAGATCATCCTGTCTGCCCTGTTCTCATAATCAGGTGCAGACACACAAATGCAGACATTTACACAAAAACACAACTCAGACTATCTCAAAATGCATTCATGCGACCAGGGAAGATTGCCCTCCCAACACCTTGTCTTCATCCCTTTTCATCTCCTCATCAGTGTGCTGCGTTGCAGGATTGGGCAGATTTTGCCTCAACAGTAGCAGCAGGTGTTTGCACATGGATGTGCCCTGTCACACTACTCATTAGAGACTCTGCACCTCCTTCGTCTTCTCATTTAGAGGAGCGAAGAGTGCACGTACACAAACACATACATGCTTGTATACAAGTGCACACAGTAGCAGGTGGCTGCTATCAGCTGGACAAATCAAAGCAGGCAAAGTTAACACCAGCTTATTGGATAGAAAGTGTCAAAAGTGTTTTTCTTTGTTCCTCCCAACTTTGGCACTTGTGTTCATGACATTCATGCCAGTAGATGTGCAGATGATAAAGACAAAGTAGAAAGTGACAAGTGTGACTGTTATAGGGGCATCGCGCGCACAGGCAACTCTCTGGGGAAGGCGAAGCATATGGTAGTTGCTCCGCATGAGAGGGGTGTTAATTGATGAGAATTAGTTTACTATGAGTATACACGCAAGAAATGCAATGATCAGTCCTGCATGTCTACCTCTTGGCGCCCCTGTAATGAGTTATCAGTGTTATAAACTGGTGTAACAGTATTAGATTGAAACTTCTGGAAGCTTGGAGCTAGATTAGATATTAAAATAAAGTTTCTATGAGTTCCCGACACATGTAATATTAGTTTAGGTACATTAACAGACCTCAGAATGGGACAAATGTCAACATTGGAGATTCCTAGCTTTGTCTTATATTGTTTTGTCCTTTTCAAGTAAACTCTGTCTGACACGATGAATACAAATCTCTTTGAATAATGTGTTATATACTGTGAGGGAATGACTCATGAAGCATGGGACAAAGTGGGTTTTGTAGCGCTTTGCTAATGTTTATTTGACTGTGATATAGCAAAATATTATTAATTTATGAAAGAAATAAACTGTAACGAGGTGCTCCCACATTGCATATCCGAAAGATTTAGGGCCTTGAAAGAGACACATTTAAGATAAATTCATACAGTATACGCTGGGATATGCTGCTAACTTTAAGTTCATATTGTGGGTCAAACAATCAGTCCTAAATGTCTCATAATACACCTATGTCATCCCTTCCTGTTAAAGGCCCACATCATTAGGAATCCCTATGACTATAAGACTGACTTTGACTTGTAAAGCTTTAAGTGTGTGTGTGGCTTTTATTAAACTATTTTTATACGGCTACAAGTGCATTCACATAGATCGACATTAGCTGAGCACAGTCGTTCTCCCCAACATGGCTCACCTCCTTTCATGTTTGTCGGCCATTTTAGAAAAGTGTTTCTCCTCTTGCTCACAGCTCTCTCTTGCCCAGCTTCCCTGAACAATAAACATGGGAGAAGAAGGGAAAAAAGGATAACGCCAACTTTCTTCTTCTCCGCACCATCCACATTTTACACTTTCCCATCCTCCCTGTCTCTGTACCCTATTGTCTTTGTATGCCTCTCTTTTCTGCCCCCTCCTCTGGCCCACAACCTCTTTATAGCCCTCCTTGCCGTGCTGTGATAATTAGTCAGTGCTAAAATAATACAGCCTCGAGAAAACAGCTAGAGCTGAGCAGAGGGCTTAGCTCCGCTGGGAGGGAAGGAGGAGAGGATGAGAGGGGGGGCGGGGGGGAGGAGGAAGCGAGAGAGAGAGAGAGAGAGAGAGAGAGAGAGGGAGTATTGTGTGTGTCAGCCGATTTAAAATGGCTACCAGCGGATTGTTAGATAATGAGTGTTGGGTAGCGTATAGGTAGTGTGTGTGTGAGTGCGTCTACATTCTCATTGTGTGTACTGCATGACTAAGAGTGTGTGCGGCCTGTTCCTGTGGATGTTGTTTGAAAGCCTGTTGGCCCTGCAGTCATTACAGCCTCTGCTGTCCATCCTCTCTGACCGGAGCACACCTAGAGACACATGTATTATCAAAAGGACCATGCATTGAAATACATACATCTCAAAAAGAAAAGAGGGGATTTAGCTATTATGCAGCAGTCATTGGCCAGGTGCACACAACAATCAACAAACACTTGGAGCATGTCATGGTCGCTATAACACTTTTAAACAATTGACAGATCAAAAAAACAGATAAAAAAATATGAATATCAACACATTGATCAGTAAAACGATAAGAATACAATGAATTGTGGTTGACTGTATGCTGTAACATTACAGATGCTGATTTGTTAGTTCATTTTTGTATTTAGTGTCTCTACTGTGACATGTTTTCATGCTTTAATGTTCAAAAGCTCTTTATTTTTCTCATACTGCCTCTTTTCACCCTCTGTCTGAAACCAGAGCCCCATCTGCTCTGATTGGCTTAAAGATGTGTCGGAAATGTCCCTCCCCTTAGCATATCACTTAGGGATATGAATGACAGCCGATAGAGCGAGAATATTATATAGTGATGTCATTATGTTACGGAGTTAACAGAGGATTCTAATTGAGGTATTTCAACAGTGGGGGAGTGTGGGAGAGAAACTCCCTCTGGAGGGAACATTGGGAATGTAGCCTTTGCAGAACATGTACATACTCAAAAACCTTTAAAACACACTATAGAAAAGAGAAAACCACATAAAGCAGAATAGGGTTCCCTTTAATCAATTTAATGGCCTAACTATGAGAAAGTCAAATGTCATGGACAGTAATCAACCTTCATTCAAAAGAAGTATAAAGTAGAAGTATGTTTGTCTGTATGCAACTGTATGTGCATTTTAATCTGGTAGCTTCATACAGCTGCATATACATGCATCAGTATGTACACATACAGCATGTGTTTGTATGTATATACCATGGCATACTGACAGCCCACAGGGTTGGGAGCAGTTCCATGTGCTTTCATTACGCTATGCTAATCACAGCCAACGCCCGTCATTTCTCATTCACCACCGGGCGTATTGGAGCCGAGCCAAGTCCTTACTCCTCTGTTACAGTTCAAACAGGAAATCACTCTGGATTTTTTAAGGCTGGAACTCAAAAATAGTGTTGAGGCAAAGTTCCTCTGACAGGGAGATCTGAGGAAATTCTTTTGTTGATGATGAGGGCTGGTGGTTATATTGACAGCATAGCCAACAGAAAGTTTGTCAGTTTGCCCTAGTTTGAATGCAACGCAAGCGAGGGCAAGTGAAACTGCAGCAGTGGCTCGGCAGATTAGCATTTCAAAGGGGAGTGACAGGCAGCAATGGTGCTAGTGCTAGTGCTAAAGCTAAACACGACAACATGGTATACACATACAATAACATATGTTATGAGCCAAGAAGAGTGATGATGAACATTTGTCATGTTTACATTAAAAAAGAATCATTTCATTCATGCATTTAATTAAAAAGGGGACCTTTATTTCACATGTGTGACACAAGATAGTACCAAAAATGATGATTTAATGAAATTATTAGGGCTGTCAGTCGATTAAAATATTTAATCGCGATTAATCGCATGATTGTCCATAGTTAATCGCGATTAATCGCAAATTAATCGCACATTTTTTATCTGTTCTAAATGTACCTTAGAGGGATATCTTTCAAGTTTGTAATACTCTTATCAACATATGAGTGGACAAATATGCTTTATATGTTTGTTTATTATCATTTGAACAATGACAAATATTCTCATGAATATTAAACACAACAACCTGAACATTACAAATATTCGCCTCAATTCAACCTAGAACCTCTTTCATACAATAATACTGTGTGTGTGTGTGTGTGTGTGTGTGTGTGTGTGTGTGTGTGTGTGTGTGTGTGTGTGTGTGTGTGTGTGTGTGTGTGTGTGTGTGTGTGTGTGTGTGTGTGTGTGTGTGTGTGTGTGTGTGTGTGTGTGTGTGTGTGTGTGTGTGTGTGTGTGTGTGTGTGTGTGTGTGTGTGTGTGTGGACACTGTGATGGCTCGTTGGAGCTATGTGCAGCTCAAGGCATATATGCTCGAATGGGAGCTGCCTGGACGCTGCAATCATGTTGCGCGTACTATCCGTGCTGAGTGTGCTGACTTTCCGTACAATGTCCCACTGTCTGGCTACCTGCATAAAGTCAAGTGCTCGGCGAAATGTCATTGAAACAGCTCCTTATATCCGTTAGCTAGCCCCAGATGCTAACAACAACAACACGTAAGGTGTGCCTCGCTCGCGCGAGTCGCGCCACACATACACACACCCTCCCGGTCCTCCCGATGGCCAGTCCGGGCCTCCCGGTGAACGTGGAAGTGTGGTCTGCCACAAGCGGGCAGCAGGAGCGGGGCTGTCAGCATCAGCTTGTAGATGGTATTTTACACTCGATGCGCTCTGAAACTACGGCGGCCGAGGACAAAAAATACACATGCGTTAATCGCGTTAAAATAATTAGTGGCGTTAATTTTTTAGTTTTTTTAATTTAAAAGTCGTTTTTGCTAATGAACTTAATTTGCGAATAAGAATCTTTCTCCTGACACTCAATATTAACTTGTGTTTCCATCCTCTCTTTGTGATTTTGCAGCTGGGACAACTTACATCTTCGGGAGAGGAGGAGCCCTCGTCACATATACCTGGCCCCCCAATGACCGGCCGAGCACACGGGCAGACCGGCTGGCAGTGGGCTTCAGCACGCAGCTGAAGGAGGCCGTCCTGGTCAGGGTGGAGAGCGCCAAGGGACTGGGGGACTACCTGGAGCTGCACATAGTAAGACTTTTTTATTATTTTTTTGTACGCAAGATGACATTGCAGTTTGTTGACATGCCTATTCAAACTAAAACTATTCATTGGTGTTTAAGGCTGGTAAAAGATGGAGCTTGACATAAATGTGCACATTAATATTAGACTATTGTCACCCTTGTGGATCCCTTTAAGTTTTTGGTTTGGAATTTGACTGAATTTGACGGCCTTGAAGGATAATTCCAGTTGATATTGTCCCTTTGGATTTCAGTTGTTTTGTTTGTAAAAGTAATCTTTGTGTCTCTTTATCTCATAATATATAATATGATGGGAATAATAGCCAAAACCCTGAAAACAATATTTTTGGACTTGAGTTTAAAAGTTTGGAGAAATTCTAAGACAACTCTATGCAGTTGTGCTTTTCTAATGACTTACAGGGTTAGGGTTAAGCTAAAGTTCCTCTTTGATTCTTGAATAGGTGTGGTTACGGCTGATCTGCCATCTAAGAAATTGTCTCCTGGAAAATATTCCTTCCTGTGTACTGTGTAGTGCTAACTAGGGTCACTCAGAGGAATCTGTGTGTGCTGAGTCCTGGAAATAGATAATCACCCTCCAGCGTTTCTCTCCATCCCCTGTAAAAATAGTTATTGGCCTCATTCCTGCTTTATTGATTTCACATATCAAAGAGAAAGGTCACTTAAAATCACCACTAGTAATGACTTTACATAGCAATTAAGGCATAGCAGGCATTAACAAATGCATTTACAGTTGTAACGGTCTCCTCGTGACCCTGCACTTCCTCTTACTGGTATTGCATCCAAAAATCACAGTTTCAGTGCTTCATTTGTAGCACTTCCTTTCATACTCTCTTAATTTACACAGTGATAAGACACTATCACTGTTATCCACACCTATCTACACTCAGCCATCTGTGCAAGTGTGTGTGTATGTGTGTGTGATCACACCAATTCAGCGTCCCGGTGACCCCAATTTGTTTGGGCTGGCCATTCCTGGAGGCGACAGGGACATGGTCGACCCCGGGTCACTCCTCTTCCAGTGATCAGTAAACTGAGAGCAACCCAGAAAGAGTTGATGGGGAAGAGGTGTAGGTGAAAGACGGAGGGTGGGGGGGGGCTACACCAAGTAGGTCAAGGCCAATTTGAGTGCTCTTAACATCAGTGATGAATAATGATAATGGATGTAAGCAGGAATGATTACAGTTTTAAACGCAGCGGACACAACACATGCGGCCGTGGGTAAAGTGGTGATGTAGCAGAGGTCAAATGCATCAACCATAAAGGGACAATTTATGTCATATTTTTGCAATATTACTGTTGCTGTTTAATATTCAACGGGTTGAGTCCCAGCCATTTGCACATATCAATATAAGTAGAATATCAAACTAATAAGAGCCCAAATGTGGCATCCCCAAATGATTTGATTTGATGATCAGGTTGCTTTGGGAATGCAGCCCAAAGCGGGTGGTAAAATCCATATATAAACAAGTTTTGTCTCTATATCTGCCTAGTTCTTTTTTTAGGAATAGATATGCTGCACAGCAATTACATTTTGAATTAGAATCTGAATGTCAACGCTATTAATGACGCTTTGGAGCTTCAAAATATTTGGTACAGCCGTGGAATAGAAAAGGGTGTCCTTGCTGTGCTCAGATCCTTGAGAGAGGACATTTTTAAAACTCAACAGTGACATCTCTTTCCAAAACTGTAATTACTCTGACTGGAACTATTTTCTTCTAAAACAAATATTCCTCATTAAAAATGTTGACAGTGTGTTATGTGGATTATCCTGAGTAATGAGACACGGTTTCTGGGAGGAGTTGTTGCATTTTAAATGTGTTGTGAGCACCAAAGCTTATTCCAATTGTCCTAAATTGTATTGGGACCTGGCAAGTATTTTTTAAAACCTTGAGAAATTAAACTATACACAACTAGATGCCACGAAAAAGGGATAATGTCTACATTATGTCATTTTGCTGTACTGATCCTTTAACTTAGATGTAAGTTTTTCTTGAGTTTTTCTTGAATTAGTTCTCATTCCAACTGACTGAGTGGCTCCTCAATGTTTATCTCTGCTCATCCCTCAAGATCACTCATCAGTCATTATTTAGCTCGCTCTTCTATCAGCTGCATATTCTCCATCTAACTTTATGCCTTTCATTTGCTCTCTCGTTCTCTCCCGTCTGGCCCGTTCATTCTCTCTCTCTCTCTCTCCCTCTCACACACACATCAGTGCCTCCGACACACCGGCCCGGCTCCTCTGCTCCCATTGCAATTACATTTAATTTGCTGCTGCTGCTCCCGAGTCGCTCCCATAAATGACTCTGTTCAGCCCGTGGTGGGTGTTTGGGTCCCGTTAATTATGCCTGTCTCTCTTTGAGGGGCGAAGTACAGGCAAATTAGACCTGAGAACCCAGGAGCCTTGGCTCCATATCATCCCACCTGATGGGGGCCTCACAGACCCAATCAAACTACAAAATAGCTCCACGTTTAAGCAGTGATGGTGGCCCTTAGGTCCCAAAACTTGAAGCCTTATTCATTAGCTGTAGCTGGCGGTTCAAAAACAGCATTTCACTTTTCATTCCAGGTTTGTGGACTTTAATAGGATTTTCATTTCAAAGAGTATTGTTTTGTTTAAATGTCCTGGCTTTCGAGAACAAACATCCACCTGCGAAGCAATTGATTAGTGTTAACATTTAAACGAATGGCCTGCCTAAGCCTGTATTATTAAGTCAGTGGCCCACAGACTCAGATCACAACTGTTTGCTAGCATTGAGCAAACTATGACACATCAATAATGGATGCTGTCTTTCTAACAAAAAATGCTGGCACTGGTGGACATAACTTATAATAACATCCCACCTGGACGTGAAAGAGCATGATTCCTTATCTCTCGCAAATCACCCGTCTCTTTATAAACCCTTCTTTCCTTACATGCCCTCTACCTCATTTGCCTGACAGCGAGCAGGGCATCACTCACTACATCTTTCTGACGTGCTGTCATCAGGCCCCGGGGCAGGACATTTTAAGTCGAGGTGGTGGAATAAGGTGCTGACTGTGGTTTCTTAAAAAATACACAGCATATCCTCACAAGACCTTGTCTCTTGCACTCTCCTAATTATTTACTGTGGGTGTGTCTGCAAGTGCTGCAAACTTTCTAGTTGACATTTTGAGAGTTTTAGATGAAAAAGCTTGGAAATTCATTATCTGGAAAATGCCATAGGAATGAATCATCGGCGTGCAGACCAAACATGACTGTGCATATTGGTGATGCAGTGCAGTATTGCTCAAGTCTATATAGATTCTCTGTCATCCAGGTCAGGGAATATAAAGCAGTAGTAAACCAAAAACAGCTAGATGCACTGAAGACCGGTTGCTGTTCTTACTGAAAACATCACTACTACTGACTTCCTCTGCATTTCATCTCCCAGAAAAGTTAAATACCACAGAACTCCCCAGGAGGCACGAGAACTAATTAAGCCTCTTGGATAAAACTCTTTCAAGAATACCTAGTTATTCTGGTTTCCTTTTCATTGTGCACAGAGCACGAACATGTTGGTAGCTCAATAGGAAACCCAGAATGTAAGCATTGGTGTGAATTAGCAACTGTATTTGTGGTAGGCTTTAACTGTTTTTACATTCCCCATAGATATGTTAAGAATAAATGTCAACGCTCAAAGAAATATGCATCTACGTATGTACTATGATTTTTATTCTCAACGACATTTAGGGTACCTTTTGGTTTCATCAGTCACACCATGAATAAGATGGGAAGATAAACAACTTATATTACTCAGTGAGCATTTCTGTATTCCTCCATTTAGTAGACAGAATGTCCCCCTGTCCCCCACATGTCTTTGACAGGATGTTCGATCAGCAGAAGTAAAAATGTTGGGAGGGCAGGACATCTTTTTTGCCAATCTTCATGACATTTCCACCATCAGGACCTGCTGCAGAGCTTCAGGGAATGAAGGGGACAGACAGATATGGAAGTGGGCTGATAGCTAAATCTCCCATCTGTGGCTGCAGGTAAAAGGCAGATGTCCTTGCAAGACCTTGGAAACGTAAAGAAACAGGGTATTTGTGATATAAGTATAATAAAAGAAGATTATTGGAGCCATAATCATGTACCTTTCTAAACCTTTCTGCCATGTCACCACCAATAACTAGCATTATCAAAAACCCCAATCAAAACTTGATGTTTCAAATGATGTTGTTCTTCAAAATATGACCTGCCATATGTGCTGATATTCTTTAGGGACTGCTGTTTTATTGGTCTTAGAATAAAGATGTGTAGCTGAGTAGGTGCAGCTCAAAATGTCTGCCGAAAGATCTGTTAGTAGTTCTTAAATAATTTTTAGTCGGTACACAAGTTAGTTCAAGTTTTGTCTTGACTATATACCCTCCTCCTGTGAAAGCTGCAGTGGTATGGCAGTTTCCCCACAGTCATGCCTCAGTGCAAGCAAAAGTACATCATGATTTTGTGCTGACTTGATAGTCTGAGTTGGGTCCATTTTTTTCCTGTACACATACATTGGCAATTTGAAAAGTGGGCATGGGAATACGTGTAGCCTTTCATTACAGTCTGGCAAGAACGCTTCGTTTTTTCCCCGCTTCACGCTCTGCTGTTCCCTGCTACCTGGCTCAGGTGACAGCACTGCTGTCCACCCACCCAGTGTGGTAAACAAAGGTACTGATGTAAATAACTTTTGGAACCATCTCAGGTTTTGATTTCTCCAAAGGAAACAGCTTGTCTGGAGGGGCCTCACAAAACTCAAGCTTTATGACTCATCTCGTATTAATAAAATTAGCACGCAGGTTCTTTAATCTGAGCTGAAGTCTCATTAAAGACGGTAGAAATGTCTGTCTTTTATGAGCTGTTCTCACTCAAGGCAATAAAGGCACAAAAAACAGCAAATTGGGGTTATTTGTTATGCATATAGAGATGAGTCATTAATGATGTAAGGAGCAAATATCGGAGTCTTCACGAGCCACTCATAAATGTTGTGA